GCCCTCCCCCCGGGGGGTGGGTGGGGGGGTACATCCTGTGCTTGCACGTTGTGGGCACGTGCAGGGAAAGCTGGGTGCTTCCTACAGCAGAGCTGCCCCGCACAGGGATCGGGCTGCACGCAACACTCTCGTGGCCCCACCGCTGCTGCTTGGCCAGAGGAGCTGACCCCTTTGTTTGCAGACCACCTGCAGCCCCAGGTGGTGGAGGAAAAGCCGATTGCCGAGGCAGGATTTCACCCTACAGCTGCGGTAGGTAGCTAAGGCCTCCTTTGCACTCGGCAGACACGCACATCTTCAGGACTCAATTCACTTCGCAACTCTAGGCATCGACTTCAAGGAGATGAATCACGCCTAGATGCCATCTTTCTCCATGAGCCAGAGGAGCTGTTACTGGTTCAGACGCAGAGAGCTAGCTACTCAAACTGATCCCACCCCGGGCATCGCTAACTGTGCAGCTTCAAAACTCAGGCACACAAAACATGCTGATACCCTAAGGGTCAAAAAGACCCCAAATGTAAAACGGCTTACATGTATAAGATTTAGGCCTTATTGTCTAGCTTGCTGTTACCTTGCTAAAATTAGTATTGTCTAGTTTGCTGTTGCTTTGTTATTAGTTTTGTCTAGCTTGCAGTTGCTTTGTTAAAGTCAGTAGTGTCTAGCTTGGATTTTTTGTTCTTCTTAAAGTCTGTAGTATAGTTACTTAGTGAATTTAGAACCCTTTTCAAGGACGGGAAGAATCGGGAGGGGATGAAGCAAAAAGATAATAACGGTTTGCCAAGGTTGCCAGACTAGAAGGAATGAGAACTAATTGATGTAGAAAGATTTGTGGCTCCTTACAAAGGACAGTTTTTTGATAAGAACCAGGTGTTTACCTCAAGAGCTGGTCTACACCAACCCTGCAGTTGGGGCAAGAGCCAAGGAGCAACTGAGTCTGCGCAAGAACAAGGGGTTACTAGCGGTGATGAAGAGGAGCCATCGGCCTTCATCCCCACGACCCCCGACGACCACCACCAGGAGGCACTGAGCAGGCGCAGTGGGGAGGGACTTATGGAAATGACCTCCTGAAGCTAATTTTAATACAAAGCGGAGACAGGTTATGCATATGTATAGGCATATTGGAAAAATTCATACATCCACTGAACTACTGGGCAAGTCTGAGCTGTCAGGCCAGAGATGACACTTTCCACAATAAAGGAGTTTGGTTTCGAATTAACCTTGGATAAAAAGTAAAAAAAAAGGAAGGAAGAGCACGGCTGGGCAACCTTACTGGTTGTCTGGGATGGTGTGCACCGCTGTAGGCAATGTTTGCTGTCCTCCCTAGCCCTGTTGTCCTCTGCCATCCAGTGAATGAAGTTACTTGGGCATTGGTTTGTTGAAATTTCATCTCTCACACAGCCCAAGGCTCACGTTTCATAAAATTAGAAAACCTGTGCTTCCCCATTCCCCCTTCCCAAAAGCAGTTGTGTTGCAAGAAAGGATTTTTACTGAGTTGCGGTTAAAATTTAAAATTAAAATTGTTCTAATTTCTTGTTCTAGCAGTCAGCAGCTTTTGTTTCTTTTTTTACGGACCTCTTCACAAGGAAAAAGACAAATGTTCAGAAAACCTTACACGATTTCCCTAAAAAACACTACCAAAACTCAACTAAATATCCAATGTTTTAATCTTGGAACAATGACCTTTTTACAAAGAGGTTTTAAAGACTGAGTGTACGTATTCACAAAAGCAAGCGTAATCCCCATAGACACATTTATAAATTAAAGACTTTGAAAAGCCATGTGACTTGATTTCATTTAAACCTGGTAAAGATATAGGCAGTAAAAATTTTAAACATTTGACTTATGTGGACTGTCAGCTTATACAATTATCATGAGTCTGAGCTAGATTAATTTCAAATCACTGAAAACAAATACTCTAGTAAGAGCATGAGGCTGAAACATTATTTTAAAGTGCTCATTAGAAACCCAGCATTTCAATTACAATTAAGAAATGTTAAAGATATTACATTCCTTACATATCGAGTCTTAAAGTACAATATGTACACAATCTACAGTCTTGTCTGTATAAATAGGAAATAATTTATCTATATATCTCAAACGTGACCAGTAGCTGAAGGGAAGCTGAAAGACTATTTCAATTTGGCCAGAAAAAGGAAAGAAACAGAACAGTCACCCCATACATATAGCCGTTAGAATTCTGCATCCCAAGTGCTGCCATTTTGGCCAATGTTCTTGGACTAATTGCCCTTTGCATCCACTCATGAAGCACCTGCTGGCATGTTGCCAGTACAGAATGACAGCATCTCTCTTGTAATGGAATTGCTTGGGTCTCTAGAACTGCTGCTAAGAGGAAACGTAGTGAGACGTAAGTCCCTTAATTACACAGAAAAATACGTGCTGCAATGTATTCCTGTTTGCAGAGACAAAAGAACTCTGAACTAGACTGTCAAACAACAAAAATTTGGACGTTTTTTATGTTTTTGAATGAACTGTAGTGCTTATAAAAAGATAAAACAAAACTAATTAAGCATCATCTGTGACAAATTTAAAAGCCTTCATCAGCTTTCTTACAGAGCCCTACCCAGTTCCTTTCAATCCAGAGACACAGTATGTTTGCTAGTCAAGCCTCTTGTCCTGACAGTTGCTAATCAAACCTTTCCATCTCATTACCAATCCTCCGTGACTTTGACTTAAAAGTTTTGCAGCATGGGGTATTGCCCTGTGCACAGGTTAAGCCTGTTTCACACAGGACTAATACCGGGTACCTGTGAAATGTTAGTATTGTACATCGTTGTACTCGGCTCAGTGCACACACTTTTCAACAGTCCACCTCCAAGTACAACATGACAAGCTCTCAAAAATACAAACAACCTTAAAATGCAAGACCCAAGAATGTTCATGGAAGTACAATAAAAAATATTTAACTTCCTCTCACAGCTTTTCACTTCTCAGCTGCCATGAAGGACAACATTTCATTTTTATCCCCGTCTTTCCACCAGTTTTGCACCTGGACTTTCAGTAAATTTCAGGCAGATACAAGAGTATACCCACTCACATACAGTAACATGATTGCAGTAAAATTAAAAGCCACAAAATAAAGTAACACTAAACATTCCGTAAGTGGAATTTTAACTTTTGGTCAACATTTCTGCTAGGCTAAAGGCAAAAATATGCTGTACAAAATCACTTCAACATCCACAGGAATAAGCCTCTTGTTTACTTTAGCCTCAGCTTAGTGTGTGGTCAGCCTGAACTATGCAATTTCTTAAAAGAACAGGTAGTTAGGAGATTGTAAAGCTATATTTCCTCCCCATTAGCAGATTCTTCCCTTGCATAACAACATTCATGTGAAAAAATTTACTGTGATGCTCAGAAGAGTTGAAGGCAAACACGTGTGTATGGGCAATAAAAGCTGTCAAGGTGACAAACGATTCAATGGACTGCTTTGTCCTCCACCTGCAGCAAGCTTGAGCGTTGTTAGCTTTCGAGGGGGATGCTGAGGACTCTTACGAAGGTTGTCGTCCATCTGCAGAGAAATAATGAGAGCCGGATCTGGCAAACAGTAGAATATAGATTATACAATTAGTCTATTTGTCAGGGCTGCCACATTAATGCTGGTTTGTGGTATTTTTCACCCTGTTATTTCAGGCCCAGCCAAAACTGATGCCTTAGTTCCTTTCTGCTCCCAAATATCAGCTTGTGATAGAGCGGCTATTCACTCCATTACCATATGGTGCATCAAACTCAGGGCAAATATTGGTGTGCTTCTGCTCAAATCACTTTGTTGAGATTACCGAAGAAAGCAGCACTGCTACCTTCTTCTAAGAGGTCAAAGTTTCAATTTTGTACAACAGGCAAACAGTGCTAGAAAGCAGACCAAAAGCCAAACTGCTAACATCAATGGATGCTTTTGCATGTTCAGCACCTTGCAAGAACAAATCTTTTTCGTATTAGAAATATCCTGGAGGTGCTGGGTGAATTTAGATTAGCTATAGATTTCAAAAAGATTTAATAAAGAACTTGTGTTAAGACCTTTTCAAACACAGGTTAAAATTAATCTCTGAATATAAAGATTTTACATTTTCACGGGAAATCAGTCTAATGCCCCGTGCATAATGTGGTATCAAAAAGAGCCTAGTTACTACAGAATAGACAGATTCACGGGAGACAGCACAGAGGAGATTCTCCAGAGACTGTCTAGTCCATCCCATTTCCTCCAGGTAGGATCAGCTTTACCTAAATCGTGCCTGACAAATGTCTTTGCAACCCATTCTTTAAAACTTCCACAGACACACTGCAATACCACAAAGAGGAGATACAATCAATACCTCATGCTACAGAAGCTGATCGTAATTAATAATCTATTTCATACACTGATCTTTTTCAGGAAAAAGTGCCTTCTACCCTTCTAGTTAAAGTGTTCTGTCTCTACTAACTCTTCATAAGTATTTTTCACAAGTTGTATAGCTTTTGATAGGTGCTGAGTGACAGACTTGGAAACAAAGAATATAAAGAAATAAAAGCTAGATGTAGAACAAGTGGGAGAAACGGTGAGTGTAGGTTAGTGACCACAGCATTCAGGTGGGAGCAAGGAGAGGTGGCGATTGGTCTTAACTTGCAGGACCATTTCTGAGTTTTGATCAATACATTTGCCTCCTCCTTTGCTGGAATGTACACTTGCAGAAAGACACCCTTCTTTTGTTGGTATGCGCACTTGCAAGACAATGTTCTTTTGATTGTAATAAAAATACTTTTTAAGAACAAGGCTTCATTAATTATTTCTTTTAAATGAAATAGTATTCTTCCTGCCTCTCTACACAGTAACTCACTAGAAAAGAAGCAATTAAAATAAAATGTCCATTGTACAGTTGCAGTTGCCATACAAGGATATCTGTGAACAAGTAACCACAATGAAGCAGGAAAATGAGAGACTGAAGCAAAAGTAACCTTTTCAATCAAGTTGGATTCCTTATTTACAAGCTGTGTGAGTTTCTGCAGATTAGCATCTGCTGTATCCTGTCCAGCCGGAGAATGGCCTGGAGAGTGAAGGTAGAAAGATGAAGAGTGAAAAGATACTTAGAAAAGCTTTTAAATCCTTAAAAAATAAAACCACACTGGAGAGAAAGTTCATACAGTATTTTCATCCAAAGAAGAATTTAAGTGAAAAGCCATTCCATGTGAGAAAAACAGAAGCACTAAGCATGAGCCATAGCATAGCTAGAGGTGCATCTTGCCAATGCTTAACAGAGTCTATAACTGAGTATTAACCCTTGCTTTTGATTTTCAATCCTTTCTGCACAACTTTGCAAGTCTACTGTATTTCCCCATAGAAGCTCCAGCATAAACTACATAAAATCCAATTCTGCCTTGGTTCAGATGGAAACCTGGAGTTCTTGTCCAAACAAGACTATATATGACAAAAAAAGGGAAAAGAAACACAGCTTACCTGAGACAGTTAACCTGAAGTAGCAAGTTAAAATATCATCACAGAATCGACACAGATTGGGTAGCTGTTTCAGATGCTCTTGTAATTGTACTTGGGGGAAACACACTTTATAAATTGGTGCAAGGAAACCAAACACAAAGGCATCCAAGGTAGTAGGCCTGAAAAGAGTGACAAAACAAAATAAAAAACCAAAGTGACTGAGGTAAGACATTAAGACCTTTACAATGTAACTGTGCATGTCAAACACAACTCAGGACAGAACACTGTCAGCTCTTCCAGCATTCCACCTTTTCATATCAATCTGGAAAATGCTTTGTACAGACTATTGGCTGATTTTATCACCTCTGAACTAGAGACATACTGGCAAGCTGAAACAGTAACTTCAGCATTAAAATCCAGTCATGCTGTCACATATGCCAATAAACAAGCCACTCTAAAACATATTTCTGGCACCACAAAAGCCAAGCTGAATGCCAGGGAACAAGGATGCACTCTTATGAAGTGGTCCAACTTCAGTGGACTCAGCCTTAAAGCATTTTCTCTCCATACAAACACAGGAGGTGACATTCGGTGGCTACAAAAGCATTCTCTAGTGCTACACTAACTCATCAGGCATGCCACATTTTCTTAGCAGCTGTGGGCAGCATCTGCCTCTCTGTGGAAAAATGCAGGATAAGGGAGACACTGCATTGCCTTGGTCCAAAGACCTCATTTGTGCCCTGTTTGCTCATTCAGATTTATCTGAAAAGTAGAGTGTGAGACATGAAACTACTGTGCAGCACTTTTAACATTCTAGCAGGGAAAAAAAAAAAAGAAGTTTAAGTGTTCAGAGAGTCATGTGGTGCCCGTTTTACTAGTTATTAAAAAAAAAAAAAAATCACACTCACCTATCTCCAAAGAAAAACTGAGATGTTCCCAACCTCTTCGACAGGAGATTTAGGCACTCCTTGGCATCCCTGTATATCTGATGAGACACAAGACTGTCTAAGAGCCCTAGGTGTAGCAAGGCTAGTATGCACAGCATTGTTCATCACTTGACAGTGTGCTAGACTGTTTCAGTTCTTGTCTTTGGTAGCACCAACTTACAAATTCTTTACTACACAACACATACCTGTGCTTCCACTTCAATGAGACTGTAGAGTGGAGGCCCTCCCCTGGTCAGCAAGATCCTGTTCAGCGCTTCCCTGGACATCTTTCCAGGCAGATACAAACTCAGCGGGAAGGGAATCCTGGAGGCAAACCATGGCTTTGTCACACTGCAGTAATTTTCAGGCTCAACCCAGAAAGTGTGCAGCTGTATCAACATAAGGAAGAATATGACTGGAATTTGAGTAAGAGTAGTAGAGAGCTCTTAGAAGTTTGACATGTAATAGCTCTGTCAGAGAAGCAGAAGCACCAGGATTTATTGTAATTTAAGGCAATCAGGCCCACAAAGGATTATACTAATTTATAATATACTAATTTATTATTTGTTATTGTACTAATCCTTTGACTGTAGGAGCATATAATTAAGCCAACAGCAACCTTCCACCTAAAGAAGAACAACAAAGATATTACACAGACCTCTATACATGTACATAAAATTACATACACACTCATGTTTATGTATGAGTATATATATACACACACACTGTACATACAGTATATATAACAAAAAAAGTTGCAAATGTACATGATCAGGTTTGAATGGCTTAGAATTTTTTTTATTTTATTTTATATAAATCTTAAAAAAAAAGGTATTATGAAATTATTAATTCTAAACCTTGCAGGTCAGCTGAAGTAGCTAGCCTGTGATACCATCTGGTCAGAATATTTTTTCCTGTACAAACTGAAGCCAATGTCATTCAAGAGATCCAACGTCTGGGGATTTTTATAGCTCTAATGTACTTAGACTAAATTGGTGAGCGCATGTGGCCATGTGTTATTTAGAACTGAAAAAATGAAACTACTGTTGGGCATTTTAATTTCTCAAAAGTTCTAACTGAACAGTTCAAAAGGCTTTCACAGTTGTGCACCCCACATCAGACACATACATTTTACTCAAAGCTTTTTCAAAAAAAATCAAATTAAACAAAACATGGCAAGAATAAGCTCTTTTCAGGATACTGTTTCCCAAGAAGTATCTAAAAAAAGAAAATCATTCATAGGTTCCCTTTTAAAATGTCTTTCATAAATTCATTATTATTACTTCACACCCCAAAACCACACATTTCTTTCCTCTTCAAAAGTTGCTAGGCAGTGTTTCCAAAATTAGACTAACTAAACAAATACATTCCCCCCAGGACTATGGCTGAGAGACTTTAAATGTCTCATGTTGGGCACCTCTTGTAGCATTCACTTCCAACAACTCTCACCATTATAAAGTATTTCCCAATACTTGCCAGTGCAGGCAGCAGCTTCTCTTCAAGTAGTGCAATATATGCCAGTGTATCAGCTCCTTGTTTTGCAGACAATTCATAATCAGCATTATATTTCTACAAATGTAAAAAAAAAATACATGCTACACATAGCATTACACAAAAATTCCCAAAAAGATAATCAATGCAAACTGAAGTTGCTGCAAACTTAATAGCTATCAAGTTAGTAAATGTAACAACATTTTGTGGGAGAGAAAGCATGCACTTACTAGAATTTGTTTACTTCTTCAGGCCAGCTGTGTCACACCTCCCTCCATCTCCCTTTTCCACTTTCCCATTCTTAGATTTTTGGGCCCTCCTACTCCCAAAACAACTCTTGTGTCTCTTTCCCATTGCTTTTCAAGCAACTGTCCAGTGGTACAGAGGCAATTTTTCAGTACTTAGGGCTGTAGCAAACCTCTGGCAAGTCACCCTCTTTATTTTTGAAGCATCTGACACTTCAGCTGGTGTAAGCATAAAAAAAGGCAAGCATTCCCATCTTTTGCTTTTAATTAACATTCTTAAAGTTTAGAAATTGGACGCTAACAATATAAGGGACCAAATGCACAGCTAAATTAATGCAATTACAGCTGACTGAGCTTTTAATTCTTACACTAGATCATTTTAAGGTACATTAAAAGGGTTGATAAGTTTTTAGGGGGAAAGGAGATTCACTTCATCAATTTAGAAACAAGGGGTCAGTGCTGACCCTTAGATATCTGAAAAACAAGCAGAATATTGTTATGCTTTAACTCAAATAGGCTTTTTTTCCCAGCATTAAGGAATCTTTAGTATTCAAAAGGCTATGAAACTTCGGAATTTTAAAACAACTGTCTAAAATCCCATCCCAAATGCGCAGTTTTCAGATTCTGTTTTTCCTCCCCCCAGAGATTTACAGTTTCACTAACACAGCATTCATGAGATAATCTTCTTGACTAGGCATGAACTGAGTTTCTAATGTAAAAGCAGAATAGTGGGCTGGAGGACCATCTTAAGAAATAAAAAGATGATGCCATGCTTTATTAGACATCTTTATAGAAATTGTATAGCTTTATTCTTTGTGAATAAAACATCAAAAGATCTGCAATAGGCAAGCGAGTTGACTACGCAATAACATGATGTGCATCAAGAAACGCTTGCAGACATTTTTATACTACAAGCTATAGAAAAACTGCATAGATTAAAAACAATGCTGTATATATTATCCTTCAAAAAAGAGCAGTGGGAGACGATTACCCATTTAAGCAGTTAAAACCACACTTCCCAAACTGTGATATCCTAGGTCTACAATGGCACGAAAAGTGTTATAATTAAGAGCAGGGTGCTTAGTGAGAAACTGCTCAATTAAGGCCAGTTTGTTGTCCTTTTCAATGAACAGTTTTCTCATGCCTATTTTTAAACCTTTCACATGACTAACAATCAGACTTTCAAACAGCAATCTATTATCCAACATTTTGTAATTCTCATGCAGGTATGAAAAGCAGGGTCTGATCTGAGCTCCACGTTTTCAGAAGCCTGTATCAATGCATACAGGGAACATGTAGAGTCACTACAAGGCAGAGAAAACAAATTTTTTGAAAGAGATCTACCTGTTTTCTTAAGAAGTTTAGTATTTTTGCTGGCTGAGAAATAACAATGTCTTCTGATATCAGGACTGGTACATCGCCTAGAAGGCACAGATAATACAATCAACAATTTACATGTATGAGTTCTAACATAACTAGAAAGCAGTCACTTCATCTGCTTTCCTCTTCTCCATAGCATGCTCTGATCCTCCTAATGTGTATGCATAAACTAAGCTTTACATAGCAGAGGAGTTCCACCAAGGTCACAAATATATTTAGTGTATTATGGTCTAACAACGATACACAAAAAAGGGCCCACATGAAATCAGACTGATGCCAACGTCTTCTGCTAGGTATCTGATACTTTGAGGACCAGGCTACTTGTCTAGATTTCAGATGCTCATCTTAAGACAAAAATTCCAACTCAGTCCAACAGCCCTCTCAGCTCATTCACCTCCCGGCCTCTCCTTCCTTTTGCTCCAATTTTTCCCTGCCTTTCCCCTCCAAATACATTTTAACCACCTGTTTTCCCTAGCCTTGCTACAACCACTGCCCAAGCTAGCACTGCATAACCATGAACTATACCAGAACCAAGTAATTCCCTGCTGCCAGAAGCCTACTCGTCAGCCTTTACTCATCAGATTGCAGGATCAAAGACTGTAGAGCATAAAATCTCTGTAACAGGGGCGAGCTTAGAGCACGTTCACAACGTAACTGCCACAATAAGCCTAACATGACTGTGCTGCTACATACTATTACAATATCAATTACCAACAACGCTTACTATTTTGATTTTTTTTTAATGGATTTTATGTATTTTGGCTATGAAGAAAGTGACTGAACTTTTGGCAAGTATACCCCACTAGTTCTTGGTATTTTCTGCTAACAGAAAACAATACACGGAAAAGCAAGAATCAAAGGTGCAACTTCTGCATAGATACAGTAACGCGTAAACTGATGACGTGGTTAACTGTAAATTATAGAGTACTTTAACCCTTCAGTGATTTTACCTCTCTGGAATACACCAAGACAATAACTTAAATGCTGAGCAAACAGATAAGCAATGAGTAGAAGCATCCAAACTAAGAAGTCCTCTCTGATACCTTACCTTCAACTTGCCTGGCAACTAGATTGTTAGTCACCTTTTGAGTCAACCTCTCTAACGCAGCACAGTACTAAACATGCCAGCTGCTGCAAGTTATACTCTTTGGGGCTTACATTCCACTTCCAACCGTACCAGCCCATTAAATTATGTATAATTAAAGAACCCTGTTTCCATACACAACTCTAGTTACTATCATCATAAATATGCAAAGTGCAAAAAGCTTAAAAATTTGCTTTCACTATACCATCAGTTTAGAGTGCCTGACCGAAACAGGTGTGTACTTGGCACCACTGCTTTGTTGACTGTCTGCTGCTTCACCCATACACATTTTAATAAAAAAGCCCTTTGAGGCACTTTATTTGTCTCTTCCACTATTTCATTCCCACAAATCCATCACGCTTGATTGTATAAAGTTCACTTATCGACGTATCGTGAAAGCAGGTAGCCTTCACTGGGGTGGGTTACACTGATGAACACAAGCCCAAAGCAAACTCAGAAACAACACGGAAACTGGAACCCACGTTTATTACGTGGCTATGATTAAAAGTGTAAAAAATGCAAAGAGGGTACCTTTCGGAGCTCTCCAAGAGTTATTTATAATATTCACTGCCAGGGGAGCACCAGAAAACTTGGCATATGCCTGCAATGAAGGTTGCAGGGGAAAAAAATCCAATCAGTAGGTGTAAGAAAAGTGTACGATAGCACTTTAAAAGTTGTTTTCAACAGCTTCAGGCACTGAAAACCGACTAAAACCAAATGCGGCGCCTCTGCTTTCAGTCGGTCTCCAGCGCCCTAACGCGCTTCTGGGGAACGCCGCTCGTGAAGGCCCCGGGACGGCAGGGCGCCCCCGCAAAGGGCAGCAGCCCG